GAATATATTTTGTAATCTGTAACCACTGAACTAATGGGTCTGTAGTTTTCTAAGTTATTCCTTTCTCCTTTGTTTTTGTAAAGAATGGTTATGATTCCTTGAGCAAAGGTCCTGGGCGTGCACCCTGTTTGCTCCATGACAGAAAAAACCCGCAATAATATTTTACTTATTGGATCTTTGAACTGTTTATAAAATTCAGAAGTAATGCCATCATGTCCAGGACTTTTATTATTATTCAATGAGTTGATAGCGTGTTGAATTTCTTCCTCTGTCAATGGAGCATCACAACAGAGACTGTCTTCCTGAGAGAGTGAGGAATCGATCACACCGACAACCTGATTTATTTTATTAGTTGAAATGTTTTCGCTTGTAAAAAGTTGTGAATAAAAATTCTGAACTATTTCTAAAATGCTTGCTATGTCTGACACCTTCTCTCCTTTCTCATTTAGTAGTTCATTTATTGCTGCGTTAGTTTGTTTGCATTTCTCCTGAGCTAGAAAGAAAGCTGTAGATTTTTCTCCTTCTGTTAAATATTTTGCTTTGCTGCGAATAATGGCTCCTTTGCATTTATTTATTTCTATTTGCTCTAGTTGTTTTTTTATTATCAAATAATCTGTTATATCTCTGCTTTGGTCATTTTCTAAATGATCTAATTCACTATTTAACTTTCTTCTTAAAATGCATTCATTATGGAGTTCTCTCCATTTTTTCTGTCTGCTATATTTTATGGAAAGGTTTTTGACTCTTTGTTTGGCCTGATCCCACCACTCTAACAGGTTGTCAGCGTGATCCATCTCCCCACTCAGAGTCTGCAGCAGGACATTGATCTCACCTCTGTAAGCCTCATCCCGAAGAAGAGCAGCATTCAGACACCAGAGACCCCAATTTCTGATGCCTCTTCCCATCTCAACCTGCAGGAAGGAGTGGTCACTCCAGGCGTTGTCCCGGATGAGACAGGATGACACCTCGGGGACAAGAGAAGACGAGATCAGGCACAAGTCGAGTCGTGATTGTTTCAGTTTTCCTAAAATGACCTGTTTTCTGGTAAATTGTTTTTTACCTGGGTGAAAAAGTCTCCAAATATCTACCAAACTATTTTGTGTAATGATGTCAAAAAGTGTGTTCCTACTATAATCCTCAGAAAATGTGCAGTTATTTGAAATGTCAGATTTTGTGAGTGTTATATTGAAATCTCCTATTATGATACAATTTGTAACTATCCATTGTCTTAAACCTAGAAAAAACCTTTTCCTGTGTGTGTCTATATTTGGTGCGTGAATGTTAATTAATCTGCATGATATGTTATTGTAAAAGAAATCTATTATCATGAATTTGCCCTGCTGATCCCTGTGAACTAAATGACAATTGTTAAACAGACCCTCCCTCATAAAAATAGCCACCCCACCCGCTTGAGTACTTGATGTAGATGAAAACATTTTCCCTTTCCATTTATGTGACATCTCTTTTTCTTGTGAAATATCCCACTTTGTTTCTTGTAGACAGAGTATATCGAAATGCGATTGAAAAATGACTGCGTTCACCTTTTCTTCCCTGCGGAGCCCACGGGCATTAAGCGAGAGAAGGAGCATTAGTGATAAGTGGAAAAATGTTGCTATAGTCATTTTTTGGCTTTTCTTTTGGGTTTTGTTGCTAGGCTTGCCAGTCTTTTCCTCGTTTGTATTATTTTTGTAAGATCAAGATCAGGGTCCGACTCTATATTGCCCACTATTTTGAGCGTCCGCGGCAAAGCGCTCAGCGGGGTTTGGAAAGACGGCAGATGAGCCGGCGGTAGAAGCTGCGAGTTTCCTTCGGCTACAGGGGGAAGAGGCGCAGCGACTTCTCCCCGCTCCTCTTCGACTGTGTTTTTGCCGTTTTTGGATGCTTCGCCCATAGCCAGCGCACCGGACACCTCTGCGTCCGGCTCTCTGGCCACAGACCGCTCAGCACTTGACATGCACTCGCTCAGCTCTTCCTCACCTCCCTCCACATTCTCTTCCACTTCCCCCTCCATCTCGCTCTCCTCTCCGCTCTGCGTATCGGCTTCCTTGAAGTCCGCTGTCAGACCCTGGTCTTGATCATCAGATTCACTTAAGTTGCAAATGCATTTATCTATTTGGTTTTGGCAAATTTGACATCTCTTTTCCCGTTTTTTTTCCGAGCATNCTCTCGCATAATGCCCCTGGACTCCGCAGGAATGACAGCAAAAATCAGGACAGTCTCTGACAATGTGGCCCGGTTGTAAACATATCCTGCAGACTTTAACCTGTCTATCATTAATAGCTCTAAAATATTCTGGACCAAGAGCTGTGTTAAATCTGGCAGAATAAGGCAGAGACTGTACAGTTTCAGTAAATTTGACTTTTACAAACCGTGTTCCATCGGCAATCTTCGTTCCCGGCCACACCCGACGCTTGATTTCTGACACTGCCTTAACTCCCCAAGTATGTAACTTGCTTAAAATTTCCTCGTCTGTGATGTAGGCTGGTAACGTTAGGAAGGAGACAACCAATTCATCATTTATCAGTTCTTTGGCGTGTATTGTTGATGATCCAATCTTGAATCCGTCCAAAAGTCTCTTTTTTGCTTTTTCGTTGCTTAATGTTATTTCAAATTTCTTGTCCGATAATAATCGACATGCTAATAAACCTCCACACAGAAAGCGTATGTTTTTCATCAGGTCTAGCACTGAAATCTTCTCTTCTCCAACAATTTCAATTTGGACCGTATTTTCTTTTTCAAATACTCCAGTCATTTTCACTTGTTCGAAGCTCGTTTCCTTGTTCCTTTCCAAATTGTCTAAAACCGAGGGATCCGTCTGTTTGTCCTTTGAAAACTCCATTACAAAAAGGAGAAAGCCCCTCCCCAACAGTAGAAAACTGTGGGGAGGTAATTCCACAAAATAAAAAATAAAAAAACCCCAAAAAAGGTCCCAAAATCCAAAAAAGAACGAAAAAACAGAGCTGCAAAAAATGGTACTCCTACCGCTGTGCAAACAAACAACTGGCTGACGCAGAGTGGGCTGACAAGGTAGTGTGGCCGTAAGCCGCAAAGCAGAGTCAGCTCGCGCTTCTTGTATAGCCTAGCAGCCAGCTGGCGCTCGCTTTCTGTTTGGCCTGAGAAACTAAATGCAGGTCGGCTTCGCAGTGCTTCTATGCGGAGGCAAAACATCCAGGGACTCGTAGCCGAAAGTGAGGAGCAGCACCCTCTGCTGCACAAAAAGGCTTACAGCACCTGGTATTCCCAGGCGGTCTCCCATCCAAGTACTAACCAGGCCCGACCCTGCTTAGCTTCCGAGATCAGTCGTTTTCAAGGTAGTGTGGCCGTAAGCCTCAAAGCAGAGTCAGCTCGCGCTTCTTGTATAGCCTAGCAGCCAGCTGGCGCTCGCTTTCTGTTTGGCCTGAGAAACTAAATGCAGGTCGGCTTCGCAGTGCTTCTATGCGGAGGCAAAACATCCAGGGACTCGTAGCCGAAAGTGAGGAGCAGCACCCTCTGCTGCACAAAAAGGCTTACAGCACCTGGTATTCCCAGGCGGTCTCCCATCCAAGTACTAACCAGGCCCGACCCTGCTTAGCTTCCGAGATCAGACGAGATCGGGCGTTTTCAAGGTAGTGTGGCCGTAAGCCGCAAAGCAGAGTCAGCTCGCGCTTCTTGTATAGCCTAGCAGCCAGCTGGCGCTTGCTTTTTGTTCGGCCTGACAGACTAAATGCAGGTCGGAGGTGTAGCCCAAAGCGAGCAGCAGCACCCTCTGCTGCATAAAAAGGCTTACAGCACCTGGTATTCCCAGGCGGTCTCCCATCCAAGTACTAACCAGGCCCGACCCTGCTTAGCTTCCGAGATCAGACGAGATCGGGCGTTTTCAAGGTAGTGTGGCCGTAAGCCGCAAAGCAGAGTCTGCTCGCGCTTCTTGTAT